CTTCTCCTATTCTGACCATAACTCCATTAAGGAAACACTGTGTTTCAGTAACATTCACGAATAACATCTGGTGCATGTTGGTTCCACCTGACACATGAAACAATCCGGCACCTTTCAAGGGTTACACACACACAGAAAAGGTAAGGACAAGGAAACAGAGGAAGAGATGCTGTAATCAATATCAGTTCTGAGATTTTCTTACACACTTTTGGGGCAGATTCCAAGTAGTACACTGCCTTCACCATCCTAATTGCTTCAGTGGTGGAAGACCCAGGGCTCTAGCCTTCATTCTGAAGCATTACCTTATTTTTAAAGTTTCTAGAAATACATTGCTAGAAGCATTATCTCCTTAGAAGATCTTAAGTCTTGTAGGAAAAAGACAGGAAAACTCTCATATTTAAATTACAGGTATGCACTACACTTGAGACCAGTGCTTAAAAGACAAGATTTTTCTGTCTTTATGGCTGAACAAGTAAAAGTTCTCTGTAGTTACTAAAACAGAATTATTAGCACAACTTATTTTGTTAAACTCAATGGGGGGGGAATGTTTCAATTTTTTTCAAGTACTCTATTGTTGCAAAAGAATCAGTGTTGCCAATCTCTGGCAAGAAATCCTACAGTATAATTACAACAGCAAAAACAAAGAAGTGATAGAACTCCACATACTTCTGTCAGCAAACCCATCCTAGATTTAAACTTTTATAGAAACTTGCACAGAATCACAGAGCTTCAAAGTCTAAAGAAAAGAAAGTAATTAATAAATATCATGTAATTCATCACTTTTCCAGTATATGGGAAAATGGGCACCCTTACATCTGTTTTCAAATTAATAACTAAGTTCTTGCATTTCTGGACTTTCACACTCTATTTCTCTCTTTAAGAACTGATTTGAAAATACAAAAAGAGGATCCATTTTTATGAAAACCAAAAATATGACAGCAGAGCCCACATCTAAAACTCTTAAAGCATGTGATGGTTACAAAGTGAGCATATGAGTAAAACAACACACACAGACTGACTTGTTTTTCAAGATGAAACGATGAGGGTCACAAAAAAGTAGTGGGATATGCAAGTCAAACTGAAAACCTGACACTTCTCCAAGCGTTCGGGAAGCAGCAGCCAGTCCCACCACAAAACAGTCTTTAAAACAGGCAAAGCCACAAGTTTCAAACATGACAGAACAAACAAACAAGGCCCAACAAAGAAGCAGACAGCGGGGAGAAGTGACAGCGGAGACACCCATGAAGATATAAACGAGTTCATGCAGCCCTGAGCATAGGGACAAAGCAGTGCAATTTCTACCCTTTTGCAGCATCTTCCTTATCAGCCAGCGAGCCCATACGTCTAGAGAGGTCATCACACCTCTGTCCCTCACCGATGCTGTGCCATCGAACAAGGCACAGCGAGCGCACCTCAGTCCCGCCAGGGATTTTTGTAGCCTCGCTGGAAGGACAGAGCGAGGCAGGGGCTGCCTCTCCCCCCAGACTCTCCCCAGGCGCTGCCGCTCCCCGCGCGTCCCCGGGCCGGGCCGGGCCGTACCTGCGGCGGCTCGGCGCTCCTTGGCCCAGGCGGCGCCCGCCCGCCGCCCGCGGCCGCTCCCCGACGCCCGCAGGAGAGGCTCGTCCTCCCCATCACCTTCGGGCCCCGAGTCCTCCGACTCCTCCGAGTCCTCCACCTCCTCGAGCACCGGCTCCCCGCACTGCCGCACGGCCCCGCCGGGGGCGGCTCTCGCACTCTGCGACCCCCGCCGGGGCGGCTCCGCCTGAGGAGGCGACGGCGGCGGCTCCACGAGGAGCAGCAGCCGCTCGTCGGGCTCCTCCGCGCCCGGCTCCGCCATGGGCGGCCGGGGCCGGGGCCGAGCGCGGCGGGAGGAGGCGGCGGCGGCGCGGCCGGGCGGGCTCGGGGCGCTCCCGCCGCTCCGGCTCCGACTGCGCCGCCCCGCGCGTGCGCGCGCCCGCCCCGCCACCTGTCTTAAAGGGGCCGCGGCTGCGCCGCCAGCGGGGGCTGCTCCGGGCCAGAGACCGGTCAGGGGCTCGGACGGCGGCTTTCAGCCCTGGACGTTTAACTAAAACATCCCTGACACTCGCCTTAGCTCTACACCTGGAACACGCTTGCCTCCTGGCCACCACTTGCCATAGCCAGCTGCTCTCCCTCCCCAAACTTTGCACAACATTGTTCTACACCATCATCACGGCAACTTCCCAAACGAAGCCTAAAACAGTATAAGAGAAAACAGTATGAATACATTGCCATTAATTCCATATTCCCCCACTATCCATGCGTTATTAACTGAAGAAAGCGAATGCAACTATAACCCCAACATATACAACGATATAACAGATACAACTATAATCCCCGCATTGGATTTCAGCCTGGATGCGTTCTCCCAATCCTGTCTATTGAAGAGGGGTTTTCCTCAAGTTTTGGTGAAATATGGGAGAAAGATACATGCATTAAATATTTGCATAGAATTGAGATTATGGGTTATACTGGGAGCAAATCAGTTCTCAGCTAAAATTAGTAATTGTATAAATTTATTATTCATTATTCTCACAGTTAAGAGCATGGTATAAGAATTTAACTTATGCATAATCTGGATTACAGGGGAAAAAAATCACTTTTCTTATTTACTGACAAAATATAACCTTACTGAAATGCCGGACTTGTGCTTGTTTTGTCTAGGGTTGCCTGCCAGCCAGTGGACTTTGGAGTTAAACTGAGTGTCATTTACCTGTGTAACTATTAATATCTATAATATTTGATAAAATCTGTTCACACTTGCATTTCTGTTCCTATTCCTTTCTATGAAAAGTGAATTCAATCAGCTGTGACTCCAGATGAATAGCCAATTTGCTGCCTAGTAAACACAAATATGAAGGTTACAGCAACTGGATGTAATTTTCCATACAGAAAATTAAACAGATGTTAATTTCTGTGTGAAGCAAACAAAAGGATCAAACTAAAAGGGAGAAGTCTGACATTTTCCCCAGCATACTGTTAAGTAAGATTGCGCCTCCCTTTAGCTACAAGTAAGTTGCATCTGTTTTAATAATGTTCAATTGAACAGTCAATTCACTAGCTTCTAAAGAGATTGAGAGGTAATGCTTTTGAAGAAAATAAGAAAGAACTCGTTAGTTATTTCATAGAAAGGCCTGGGTTGGAAGGGACCTTAATGATTTTCCTAAAGACCTTAAAGATATTTGCAACTCCTCTGCTATGGACAAAGCCACCTTCCACTAAAACAAGTTGCTCAGACCTCCACTGAACCTGGCCTTATACACTTGCAGAGATGGGGCATTCACAACTTCTGTGAGCACTCTGTTCCAGAAAAAAAAAATTTAAAACCCTTATTTTTTTCTGGTTTATGCATTCATCTAGACATACTACTGTATTTTTAAATGCAATTAACTGATAGTTTTCATCTTCTGCTTCAATAAGAATTCTGCAACTTGCTCACAGGTCTTGATCTGACAAAGCCTTTACATTGCCTCACTCTTCACTAGTGCAGAGTTCAAACACCACGAGAACTCATAATTAAAAAAAATATACACTGCCGTCATAGTAATTAACAAACCATTAATTTTAATTCCAAATAGCTAATACTTTTCAATTAGCCACCTGGATTTAAATTCCTAAGAATTACATCATGTAAATAAGCCGGGTCATTTTCCTCTTGCTATAGCTTTTGTCCCTATCTTTCTAACCAACAGAGCAAATTTTGTCATCTGCTCATATGTATTTGAGCACTTTGTCGGAACACTGGAGCGGAAGAAAAAGAAGGAAAAAAGAGGAATTCCCGCACAATGTGCGCTTATCGCTTTAGGTGAGCGCCCTCTTGTGGTACAGACCAGGAGGAGCAGCGCTGGGGACTGCGGGCATCGCGAACGGGGAGCTCGACCTGTGGAGCTCTGTTCTGCTCAAAGGGCTAGGAAACTGTGTTAATTATAGTATGAGCCAACAATTCAAACAGGTGGGTAAGATTTCTCTTTCAAAACGTTCAAAACTTAAACGCTAACTAAACTTACAGAAGCGGGACTGTCGCTACGTACACTTCACGCGCCAATTAGCCGTCTGAGCTTAAAACTGTAAAACAGAAGAATCGGATAAGATTTTATAAACAGATTCAGTCGACCAGATACAGGCTGGTTATAATTAAACATTGGAACAAACACACCACGTACTTAACGCGCCTCTTAAATTTTTTACGCTCCCTACTAGTTATTTCAAGGAGGCAAATGGGAACCTGCCGGTGCCCGTGGCCGCCGAGGGGCAAAGCACAGCGACTGCGGCCGGCTGCCCGTGCTCCAGGGAAGCTTCCACCTGCTGAGGCCTTACTGGCAGATCCTAGCAAAGGTGCAAAGCCTGGCCTGCAAATCCTCTGCTGGTGTTGTGTTAAAAAAAAAAAAAATTAGGTCTCGCTGGGTAACTTGTCTTTGTCCTTGTGATACGGTTTTGGGCTATGCCCGCAGCCCTAGCAGGCTGCTGCTATTCCCTGAGGATCGTCCTACAACCACTTGTGCCCCCAGACAGGTCCCAAGGATCAGAGAACGCCCTGGCCCCGGCGCAGCAGCGGGGAGGTACATGGCTGTTCTCAACGGCCTAGTGTTAAACTCAGCAGGGCCGGGAAAACCAGCCCACCAACAGGCTCTGCCCAGCCCAGCGGTCTGGGTTCCGGCGAGCTGCCTCTCACAGCGGGGCGCGGCCTGTGACAGGCCCAAGCTCGGACCCGCTCTCCTGCGGCCCCGCACCTGCGCCGGGGGCGGCCCAGCCCAGCCCCGCCCAGCGGCCGGGCAGGGCCGGAGGGGGCCGGACGGGGGCGGCCCCGCGGAGCGCTCGCTGCCCGCTGCGCGGATCTGGCGGCGGGGCGGGGTCCCGGAGCTCCACGGCGCGGCGTGCACCGTACCGCCCCCGCCCGCCCCTTCCCGGCGGGAAGTGCCCTGCTCGCAGAGGCCCGCTCGGCGCGGAGGGGGAGCGACGGTGGCGTCGGGAGCGCCGCGGCCATGAACGCGGAGAACCAGGGCTGCAGCGAGCGGCTGGTGACGGCGGCCTACGTGCGCCAGGGGGCGCAGGGCCGCCGTGCGCACGAGCTGCGCCTGCGGGCGCTGCTGGAGCAGGTAATGGGGCCGCCGCCCCCCGCCCTGCGCCCCGGGGCCGAGCGGGCACCGCCGCCCCGGGCAGCACCGAGCAGCCCTATCTCTGCCACCACCGTCCGCAGTGGGGCAGAGCTGACCCCCCGCCCTCCCCGCACCGGGGTTCGCGAGGGCAGAGCGACCTCGAGCCGCCCGTCGGCCCTCCGAGCAACCGGGTCGGGCAGGGAAACCTCCCCCGAGCCGGGCTGGTCGCGGCGGCCCCGTGCAGCCCCGTGAGCGCGCAGGCCGGCCCGGGTCACGGACTCTGCCCTCTGGCACGGCGGCACCGCCGAGTCCGGCCCGCGAGAGGCGAGAGCCGCTGCCGGCACGGCAGGGACCTGACGGAGTCCCAGAGTGAAAGGCCGCGTTTGGCAGGAAAAGAAAATTACTGCCCTGGCTTGTGCGTTTGCCGAGAAAGGCCCAGAGAACAGTTAAATAAATGTTTAAAAACAGTGAGATACTAGCACATTGTTGCATGAGATAAAAAGCGATACTTGTAAGGTGCCAAAACAATGTATTTCATTCCCTCCAGCGTATAAAAATAATTGTCAATGAATTAGCAAATGTTTCAGTTCTTGAGCATCCTCAGTCTAGTGTTGGAAACAGTCATCTACTGTTTCCACCTTAACTTTGATACCGCACTTGATAAACTAATCTGACTTACTGAATTGTCTCTTTTGTTGCTGGGGCATGTGAAAAAGCCTCTGGTCCTATAAAAAATCTTCATGGTTTATGGGTCCCCGCTTTGAGAATCTTGTCTGCAATTTGCAAAGATGGGTGCAGTTGTTAATTCAGTAAAGAGCACAAGAAAGAGCAGGTTTCTTCTTGCAGGTTTTGACATATTTTGGAAATGGTTTCCTTCCCTATTAGATAATAACTGGAAAGTAATATGTGTAGATAGGAAGATGTATTACATTAAAACTATATTTCCCTTCTGCTCATGTTTTTGGTTCTCTAATATCTGAATATCTTCCCTTTTGTGCAGTTTTCGCTATTGAGTTCTTGTAGTTGTACATCATGTCTAGGGAATATATCAAATAATCACTAGTCTTTTAGGGAGTAATTAACATGTATGCCCTGCAGTGGTTTTGTGTGTACCATAGAGAACACTTGAAGGTAAAAGATATCCTGATTGTTTTAATGTCGGGATGTGCTAATGTAATTGTATTTAACACATGGAAAAATCATTATTTAACTTTTCTCTGAATACAGCTTCATAACATTAGATAGTATAAAAGAGAATAATGAAAATACAGACTGCTGCTTTGCATGAGAAAGAAGGGTAACAATTATCAAACAAGTTGCATAAAGTTTTGTTAATTTTTCATTTCCAAATTTCATATTTTTTTATTATTGTTATTATTAAGGGGAAATGTCCTGAAGATGGATGGGATGAAAGCACCATTGAATTGTTTCTTCATGAACTTGCTATAATGGATAGCAATAACTTCCTGGGCAACTGTGGCGTTGGTGAGAGGGAAGGAAGAGTGGCATCAGGTCTTGTTGCCCGAAGGCATTACAGGTACAAATTATTGACTGTTTTGAATTATTCAGGTTATTATTAATGCTTTCCTATGGTGTATTTTATGGTGGTTTGTTTATCTAAGACCTTGGTAGCATTTGAGAAAAATAATATAATGTGATAATTGAATTGATACAGCTTTCTATATTAAATTTTCCTTAATAACTCTATAGAAAGTCTTGAATGAAGCAAAAATGTTTTGTCAGGATTATGTCCTGTACATTGAATTTGTAGAAGCTGAAGTTGTTGAGTTGTCCTTTACAAGGGAAGCAGAAATAGGGAAAGATCTTACTGTTTTAAAATAATCTATGCATTACATGCCTTTTATAACAAGGTGCAGCTTTTCATCTGTATATTATTAAAAACTACTGTACATTGTAGTTACCCATTATTGAACATCGACAGTGAACAGCTATTTGTATTTTTTAATATTTGTGAATAGCTTTATAATGTGATTACTTGATAAGCAGATGAAACCCCAGTCCATCTATAATAGGTTTTATATGAAGTAAGGAGATGTCTAAAGACAAAAAGTACTTTTATTAGCTCGTAGCCCTTCAGGCTTACTTAATGGATATGTTGGATGCTATAATTTTAGAGGCTCTGCATTAATTTCCTTAGGAATGTATTTTTTTGTATGTGTGTGTTGAGTGCTGTGCTGAGTATCTTGCTGTGATGTTTTATCCAGCAGGAGTGAATCAAAGGGAAAGTTCCAGGATGTTTCTCCTCAAAAGATAAACACAAAAGTATATTAGAGGCCAGAAATTTAGTAAGCTTGGTAAGCACATGGAGGCTGAGTCACTTAGGCTTGATGGCTTTCATAAGCCCTTCAGTACCATGATAAATTCATGTCGAAATCCAGTGATACATCAGTTTGGCTTTTTTAGTTTTGTGTGCAGCTCTCTAGGCTAGGATATGCATGGTAGGGGAGGGGAGCATATCTGGGGAAGTTCTGCTTTTGGACAGTGCTGGGGAAATTGTTCCTGGCTCCTGGCCAGAGGGAGCCTGAACTGGTGCTCACTGCTGCTGTTCCAATGCAGCTCTGGCACCTGGCATCTTGCCTCTCCTGTGAGTGTCAGCAACAGCAAGGTGTCCTCCCCTCCAGTTATTTCTGCAATAAGTATTACAGGTGACTTGGGGAGTGATGGAGGTAGAGGGAGATGGTTTTCAAGCTGTCTCTCCTTTTAGCTTAATAAAGGGGCAGTCTTAGGGAAGATGACTTCTCAGGAAGCAGTACGTAAGTGCACAAAATAAAAAGTACTGATATGAGACAGCTATTAAGAATATAGCTGTCTCATATCAGTACTTTTTATTTTTTTATTTAATATTTATTTTATTTTTATTAAGAATATAGGAATGAGGGAAGAAAATATTTTGGGTGGAGTATTATATGTAAGTTTTAAGTAATTATTAAGTGTTTGTTGATTTCAACTTAGCACTTGAAACAGGAAAATAAATTTAAGATGTAAAATCATGCTCCAAGAAGTTCTGAATATCATATACTCATTGGGCTGCATTTTATTCTGTTGCCAAGACAATAAAAAGGAATTAAAGCCATAAGTAGGTGTATACTGTTACTAGCTTACTTGAGCAGCTGCTGCATTTCAGCCATGGCTAAATTCATTCTGTAAGCTTGTATTCTATAAATTACTTCAAGATCCTCCACTCCTGAACTAAATAATGTTCAATATTTACAAACATAGTTTATAACCGTAATTTATAAACAGAATTCAGAGAAACATATTATTCCAAGACAGATAACATTGAATAGCAAAATGATAGATGAAGTGAAGATGTGTAAGATGGGCAAAGCGATACATAGATCCATGTATATCACTTTGTATGTATTATTTCCTTGCCTTATGGAGATGAAGCATTTGCCAAGGGAGTATCTATAATACCACTATGCCTATGCTACCCTACACTACAGACAACTAATTTTTGTTTTCCTTAGTTGTGTGTCTGAACATGTCAGCATTTATAATGCTATTTTGACAAACATCAAGAAGTGCTGAGGTGTTAAAAGGAAGCTTAAAGGGAAAAGGAAAAAAGGAAAAAAAGGAAACTTAAAAGGTAACCTGCCAGAGGCTAAAGGTGTTGCTGCTGTGGATCTTCTCAAAGTTTTTACTTACATGCAGAAACATTGTTAATCTACTGTTAAAAAATCCCCAAAATTTCATACAAATATGTGTACTTTGTTAAAATAGAATTGATTGTGGCAGGTACTGATGTGTACAAAGTTTTCCACAATTATTTATCAAGTTGAATTCTCTTCAGTCAGCAAGGTTTATGGCTTTGAAACATGAAAATCCTGATGTGTGTTTTCAACTTCTTTTGTCTAGGTTGATCCATGGAATTGGAAGGTCAGGTGATATTTCTGCAGTACAGCCCAAAGCTGCAGGTTCCAGCCTTTTGAACAAACTTACTAATTCAGTAGTTCTGGATGTTATAAAACTGGCTGGTAGGTGTAAATTTGAAAAATCTCTCTCATTTGTGAAGTTACATCATGGATTCTTCATGTTAATGTCTGACTTGCTTTTACATGCAGGTGTCCGGACAGTGACCAGCTGCTTTGTGGTTCCTATGGCAACAGGCATGAGTCTAACTCTGTGTTTTTTAACATTGAGGCACAAGAGACCAAAGGCAAAGTACATTATCTGGCCACGTATAGACCAGAAATCTTGCTTTAAATCAATGATAACTGCAGGTAAGAAGGTAACTGATTGATGACACTGTGTGTGTTCTTCCAACAGATATGGAACTTACCTCTATCAGAGTGATCAATTCATATCATTGTAGTAAGATACAAAAAAGGCCTAAGGCATGGTAGTTCTGCTTTATTTGTGCACTCCTGATTTCTAACATGTAATTAAAATGTGCATGTTGTCTTCCTAATGCCTTGCAAAATGCAGGTGTGTGCAGAGGTAGATAAAGGAGTCAAATGAGAACAATACTAAGGAAGTTACAGTTCACCCTCAGAGTAAGATACCTAATCTACTGTCCTTAGAGTTATGTAAAACCAAAGCTCATGGTTCAAATCTCTCTCTCAAATTTTTGCAAAGACTAGTGTCCTAGGAATTGTGATCAGAAGGTGACAATCTGTCTGATTGGCACAGTCTTTTCTCTTAGAATCTATTAAAACAATAATAGCACAATGTGTTTTTCAAATGTATACTGTCACTAAACCCCCACAATTAGTCAGATTTTTTGTGTTATATCAAGTTCTTGCTTTTTTTGATCAGGTTTTGAGCCTGTAGTGATAGAAAATGTAATAGAAGGTGATGAGCTACGGACAGACCTTGAAGCAGTGGAGGCCAAAATCAAGGCTCTTGGTGCTGAAAATATCCTTTGTGTGCATTCTACAACATCTTGCTTTGCTCCAAGGGTACCTGACAGGTAAGCAGTCTTGGTAAGAGGTGTGTTATTTGTTACTCTTAAAACAAACATCCTCCTCCCCAACAACAACAATAAAACCCAAACAACACCTCCATGTTTTGACCATCCATCTTCCTAAAATTGCTTCTGCCAACAATTAGTAAAGGTTCTTTTATCCCCTTCCAGAAAAGTATATTTGAAAAGTGAGAATTACACAGAAGATTTTTCTTCTGTTATGTAAGTGAGGTTAATGTTGCTCTCTTGTGGTGAAATTCATGTCATTTTGCTAGTGGTTTTCATAAAATTTCATGGAAGTAGTAAAAGTAGATTCTCATGGAAACATAATCCAGGAAATGTAGCTCCATAGCTAATGCCATTTTTTTGATGTTACTGTTGCCTTTTCTACTCTCCTCCACAAGCATAGGAAAGAAATGTTATTGACTCTAAAATGTGGCAAGTAAAAATATATTTCACTCTCTTCTCCTACCTTAAAAAGTCCTCCAGTATTTATCATAGGTTAACCTAGTTGCTAGAGGGAAAGATGGGAGTTAAAACCATATAATTCTGCCAGAATACTATGAACATTGCTTGAAGTTGACTTGCAGATTTATTGGCTAACTTAAATCACAGCTATCAAAACTGAATGGTTGTTTTATAGCTTGGGTAAATGAATCTTCTCCTTATCTGCTTCCTCTTTTTGACATGCTGCTATTGTTTTGTCCTCTACAACTAAGAGATGAATTATTAGGTAGTGGCACTATGTTATAATATACCACAGATATAGGGAGATTTGAATGTACTTTCTGTTTAAAAGAAACTGTCAACTATTGAAGGCCATAACCTTCATCTTCCTATGGGAAGGAAAACCCTGACAGCATTTCTGGAGGGTGCAATTTTAAATGTCTGTTTTTAAATATCTGCATTTTTAAGGCCTTATTTAGTTGTGGTGGCCGTGTTTTAAAATTTTTAGTAGTTTTATGGCTGCCATACCTATGGCTTTCCTTTGAAGTACTATTTATCTCCATGGGGGTAATTCTCTAGTGTATAAACCCTCTTTCTCAGTATTCTACCTGCTGTTGCTGTAAGGTGTTTGTAAAACTACTGTAAATATAGTAGTTTGTAAAACTACTGTATTTAAGACAACCAAAGGGAAAGTGTCCTTTTCAGTTGGTCTGTGTACTTAGCAGAATTCTCTTTTTACTTTCAATAGTAGAAAAAAAGAACAAAGCTTTCTTTTCATGAACTTTAACAAACAGGAGAGAAAGAAAGGAAGAATAAAGTGGGAGATACTTCTGTATTTGTGACTATTAAGAACTTCAGTAGCCAACTTCTGTTAATGCTTTATTTTTATGATATGATTAGTAGCATTTTCAATGCTGCATTCCAGGCCTTGGAAACAGGTGCAGGTGCATACAGGTGCTGTGCATCATTTGCTTCCCTTGCATACTAACACATTCTCTTCAAAATGTGGCATCCTCATTCTGTATTCCACAATGGATCTAATTGTTCAATAGACTATTTTTAGGGAAAAAAGACTTTTCTGTTTTCAGTACTTGTAGAAGATAGGTTACTGCTCCTATAATTTTCAGAAGGTGAGAAAGATGTACATAGCTGTATACCCTCTGTGTTTGTAGTTTGGTGAAATTGTGTGCCTGCACTTGACAAGAAGCCTGTAAGAGGGAAACTGTGTTCCTTTGAGTCTCTCTAGAGGGTGAGGAATGTGTCTGATTAAGAACCAGCAGGTCAGAAGGCAAAAACTTTGCCCTGCATAATAGATTTCCTCAATGTATTCTATTAATGAGGGGAAGCCACATGAGGAGCAGCTGAGGTCCCTTGGTCTGTTCACTCTGGAGGAGACTGAGTGGAGACCTCATTGCAGTTACAAATTCCTCATAAGGGAAAGAGGAGGGGCAGGCACTGATCTCTTCTGCGTGGTGACAGTGACAGGACCCAAGGGAATGGGCAGAAGCTGAGCTAGGGGAGGTTTGTTTATGTTGGATATCAGGAAAAGGTTCCTCACCCAGAGGGAGGCTGGGCACTGGAACAGGCTCCTCAGGGCAGTGGTCACAGCACCAAGGCTGACAGAGTTCAAGAAGCATTTGGACAATGCTCTCAGGTGTGGTGTGACTGCTGGGGATTGGGCTGTGCAGGGCCAGGAGCTGGCCTCCATCATCCTTGTGGGTCCTTTCCAACTCAGAATATTTTGTAATTCTATGCTGATAAATGTGAAAAATTATTGGAAATGCAATTCCTCACAATTATCTTGACTGTAGAAGATCAATATGTACATTATATTGCTGGTGTTTCCTAATTATAAAGTACTTTTGATTTTTTTAGAGGATAATATGGTAATGATGATTTCCTAAGAATTTATGTTTGGAAAAATTAATTTGACACTTGCAGCAGAATTTTGCATTGCAGAACAACACTAGAAAATGTAATAGAAATAGAATGCAAAGAAATGTCACCTCTTGGAAAATGTTTTCATACTCTGTCACATTTTATATGTATGTCAGTAAATTACAGTGAGAGTCTGTACAGGAGGAGATAGAGTAAAAATGCATTGGAAGCAGAGTTTCCTGATTTTTTTTTAAAGGTAATATTACCTTTATAATCACTTTAAATTATTTTATATTGCCTAATTTTTTCAAATAGATTATATTTCTAAAATAGATTCAAAAGTTTGGGGAAAATCACGAGTAATTTTTTTTTTAATATAGCATGATTGGAGTGCTTCAGAAAAGGGTACTGCATATAAGTATGTTTAAAATGCTGAAGGATCTTACTTAAAATGATCAGTGTGCTCACATAAACCTCAATTTGACTGATTAATCAATCCAGGTTGAGCTCACTGAGATTTCGGGGGGTTCTAAAGGCAAGTGAAGAGTAAACAGCTGAACAAATTTTCAATTTGTTGATGTCCATATTCAGACATTTTAGGGCTTTCCATTCCTTTAAAGAATTTATTTTTTCTTAATCAGTTTATCTGAAGCATGAAATTCCAGCCAAAGGATCAAAATACTAGTTCTTTTGAGATAAACAGAAAAATATAAAAACTTCCTGTTACAGAATGCTTTTGATTCCCAAGACACTGTTGAAACTACTATAGACTTTTCATGTTGAATAATAGAGAAAAGAAAAAAGTGACTAGCTAAAGCTATGCAGTTAATAGTAAAGAAACAACAACAAAAAAAGCTTGGATCTAAAGCTTAATGGTTTGGGATATATTAACTGCTGTGCAGACAAAACTTAAAGTGAAGCAAGAAAAATGTCAGACTAGATCAACAATTTGCAGGATATGTAAAAGCCAATAGAATTTTCATCTTAACTTTTTAGCTTAAGGTGACAAATACTGCCTTGAGGTACTAATCAAGAGTTACTTTTCTCATTCTCACTTCCTTGTAGACCTTTCAGTCTTTTAATGGTCTGACTTGTAAGTTGAGCTACAGTAATCAATGCTTCTCTAAATTATGATTTTATGCTCACAGGCTGGAGGAGCTGGCTGTAATTTGTGCTAATTATGACATTCCACATATTGTCAACAATGCATATGGAGTTCAGTCTTCAAAATGTATGCATCTTATCCAGCAGGTAGGAGCTGTGTATTTCCAATAATATTTTTTTATAGCAAGTATAAGTAAATTTGTGATTGTAGACAACCTAGCAAATTTTATCAGATGCTTCATAGCTTTGAGAGAAATCCCATGCATGTCTGACATTTGAACAATTTTCTGGGAAAGCACAACAGACAGAAAGAGAATTTAAGCATAGTAGTTATTTCTATTACGTGCTTTTTATGTAACTTTAAGTTTATTTAGGTTTTTGTATGTTCATGTGTCTTTATAATGGAAAAATATCCTTAATAAGCTTTCTTAAAATAATTCCTAAAGTTGTTGACCAAAAGTGACATAATGGATCATACTTGAATAGAAATGAGGCCTTCAACAGAATGAGTTGCAAATTTTTAATTGAAGGTACAGAATTCTACAGCAGCACTTGATAGACATTGTCACTGTTAAAATATTGTTGGCACAGAGAATGGCTGAGGAAACTGATTTAAGTTCAATGTTATGCTCAAAAAAGTTTAAGTTCTGTTGCTGTTTAGCTTGAAGAGGATGTTGCTTGATATCTAAGATCAGTCATGAAACAGAATTCTTGCATTTTTCCTCATTGTATTGTATGTACATTGTTCTTTAATATTCTTTTTTCTGTTACCTATTCAAAAGAATAGGGGGTTATATTTTAATAGGATCCAGAGGATCCTGAACTATTAGTAATGTAAGATATGCTGGTTTTTTCTTTTTTTCTGATGGCTAAGACATTACTTACAGGACACAGACCAGCTTAATGTACAATTGTGAAAGAACATCATGTTGACATTTCTAAATCTTGAAAGACTGAGGGAGTTTATGAAATAGAAAACGTTATATGCTTTATTTGTAATGTACTTAGTACATGTTTATTGTATTTAACTTGCTCAAGTTTAGTGAGAAACTAACATGAATGAGGCTGTGGAAGTGTTGGGTTTTGCTGCATGAAATGTTCTAATGATAAACATTTCAGACTAAAATGCTACAAATGCAATTTTTACTGTGTTTGTTTTGATGTTTTTTCTAGACTCAATAGGTTGTTTGTTCCTTGCATATGCAAATGTATATATTTGAGCTCTGATTTGTTTTACATTTTATTACAAAACTTTATTACCATTTCATGTTGTGCTTTTCCTCTGGTGTTCTCCTGTCAATTAAATCAAATGGTAGCAAATGGCATTCATGTTCCCAACAAAAAGCTGACAAACTTGGAGTGTTTTTCCTGTCTTCTGTGCATTAAGCTATCAAAATATAGAACTAATAAATGAGGTTTAGTTGGCTCTGCTTTTTTTTCTGTCTGTTTTCCACAGGTATTAACTCTGTTTCTACTTCTTACATTTAGTATGTAGTTTCAAAAATATGTGTATTTGCATATACTTTGATATGTATGGGGTTTAACCTACTTTTCAGGTTCTTATGCTTCATACTTTTTAATTGTACAGTTCATAGTTACATGCCACTCAAATTGAAGGTGTACTGCAGAATCTACATTTTTTCCTTTGAAAATATGAGTGGTTTGGTATAAGGATGTGGGGAATATCTGCTATAAGAAGGTACTTGAATCTTGCTTGTGAAAGCAGCCTTAGAAGAAGGAGTGCTGTAATAAGCCTGTTTGTTTAATGCAAATTTATATATGTTGAAAATTTTATATAAAAAAATTTATATATTGAATATATAAAAAAATTTATATATTGAAAAAATATATATTGAAATATTGAAATGAAGCATTAACTCGTAGCCTTTTATTGTGAGAATTGTAAGAAGTGTTCAGGATTGAACAGTTTTAACTGTATAATTCCCATTGAGGCATTCCTTTTTGATTGTTGCTGACATGGAGCCACGCTTAGACGTGCAGGAACTAAAATTTATATTTTAAATCATATCAAAATGGGAATTTGTAAGGTTCTATGTTAGGCAGACAATGATACTAATAGTAAGCAGTGCTAAAAGAGGTAATACTGTGATTTTTATGTTTTGATCACAAATGCAGTATCTGAGAGTTTCAGGAATTATATTTATTTTAGCTATACTTTTATATAGTTATTATTCTATCCCATTTCCCTTAGTTCTAATGTATGTTCTGGATTTATATTTTTTTTTTTTGTCTTTTTTGATAAAGGGTGCTCGAGTTGGCAGAATAGATGCTTTTGTTCAGAGCTTGGACAAAAATTTTATGGTTCCAGTAGGTGGTGCTATCATTGCTGGCTTCAACGAGTCCTTCATTCAGGAGATCAGCAAAATGTATCCAGGTAACTAGTTCATGGGCTGATTTCAGCCATACAGAATTGCTGTAGAAAACTCGATTATCAGCTTTCTTTCACATAATTTTTTTTTTTTTGCCACTTTAATCTGTACATTGGGGTTTTTTTTTCAGGAAGAGCATCTGCATCTCCTTCTTTAGATGTCCTCATTACACTTCTGTCTCTGGGAACCAGTGGCTACAAAAAGTTACTGAAAGAGAGAAAGGTAAGCTTTTTGGCAAGCAGTATTTTCTTGAAGTCAGCTGTTAACAAAGTCTTGTTGCAAAACTGCTTTGTGTAGTAAATCCAGTTTCTGTCTAGAAAGCCATTGAATTAATCTGAGCCAGAGCTCTGAATCTGGAAAGTCAGTGTGATACAATTACTTCTTGTCTAAATGGTGCTCATGAGTAAGCATGATTTCCATGTTGTTGTTTGTTCAATCCAGGAGGCTAAACGGAGGGCCTGTACTACCTTGTACAGTATTCATGTTTGTTGTTCCTAAATGTGAATAATATAGTAGGATTTTGTCCACAAAAACTGAAATGGAGAAATACTGTACTGTTTTATCATGGTCACACTGCTTCCAGCACAGGAGATTGGACACCCAGAGTAACCCCGGGTCTGTGCTCTTCCTCTTTTGTCCCTATTGTGCCTTTGTGCTGTGATAGTGCTTAATTAAATGTTTGTGTGCCACATTCTCTGGAGAATCACAGCTTCTGGTTGGCTTATAAATACTGTGCATTGCCACAAAAAGAGAAGAATATTGTCGTTTTAGTTATTCATCTAAACACACAGCTTAGTTTCTTCTCTGCTTTTCACAGACTATAGGTTTTAAGTTGGGTATAATTGCACTGCACAAAAATCCAGTGCATGTCAGGTTGGAAATCGTATATTTTGAGTTATCCTTAGTTCTGGAATTAATACGTCTGATTTTTCTCTCTTTTTATAGTAATGCAGAAGATTCTTTTTATAGAGTCTTCATATAAGGAAATGCTGTGAATTAAGCACTATTAAATTAATAATTTTAAGCTATGCATTATCTGTTTCATTATTCTATTTGAAAACTATGTTCCAGTTGTTTTCTGCTGACAGTTTGCTGCTGTCTCTGATTATGTGGCAGAGCAGTAGTTTTTGCTGCTGTGACTTATTTCTAGCTGGTTAAAGGGCATCCATAAACTCTGTACTGGAACTGAGGTCCCATAGGAATAGCTAGGCTATAGAAAACCAAACCAACTTAGCAGCCTTACAATGACTAAGAAGTGATCTGTGCAACTGAAGTGAAACCAGCTTGTGAAACACTGAAAGCAGTTACTTTTGCCTCTACTGCAGCATTTTATTCTGGACTGTTGTATGTATTCTGATTTATGTTTTGTATGTTCATTAAAAGCAAATTGTATTTTTCCCTTTTACTGCTATGTCCAGAAGAATCTCAAGTGAATTTATTGTTTTCTATGAAGCTGATTTTGTTGTTAGATTTCTACCAGTAGCTGATGTATAAAGGGCATGAGAAATATTGTCCGAGTCATAAATAATAATTCTTTCATAAATGTCTTAATGAATAGCTGTACACTTTGAGGCATCTAATTTTCTTGGAAGTAGAACTCTAAAGTGAATACAATATTATATTTTTACAACTTCAGGCCTTTTTATTTCAAATGTGAATATACACTATAAACAGAGCCTTATATATGGCATAAATATGTTTCTTTTATTGGATTTGCTGTAGAAAGAGAAACATTTTTGCTTAAATCTGTTTGTTCCTGAATTGTAAAAGTGCAATAGTGGTAGTTTATTGCCTGTGCTCTGAGGAAGCAGAGGCAGAGCTATTAAGCTTCCAGCAGGAACTATTTATAGCTTGACATTGAGTACTCCTTTCTATATTGGTGCAGCTGCACCTACTCACACAAAAAAAATCAGCTATAAAAAACTTCAGGTGTATTTTTTTTCTTTCTCTTTTTACCTGATCCTTATTCATATGGATGTTACTTCAGGTTATTTGAGCTTAGGCCAGAAAGCCCAGAATATTACTGAGAAGAGATTAGTCTCACACAAACAACTAAATAATCTGCCCAGTTTTTATTCTACACAGATTAGCTATTTAATACAGGAAGGGATGTACATGGAGTGAGATTTTTTTGACAGGCTGGGAATTGTGGAGTGTGCAATTGTCCAAGAGTATGAGATTATAGGTAGTAATATGAAGAAGTACTGACTTTTTCAGAATTCCTTTTTATATGTTCATGTGACGGTTATAACAGTGGTTTTCTAATCTCAGTAGATGATTCTCAGTCCTTTTGCAGTGCAGATAACGGTTGGTCCATAGTCAAATTTGTTGATATCTTTGCTCTTAAAGAACTTAATGTAAAGGTTGTATTTTTATAGCAACTTTAGATGCCTCAGTACAGGTTATGTTATGTCCTGTATTTTACATTTCTAGGTCATAAAAGTTGCTATTTTCATATATGTATGTGTGTGTCTAAACCAGGCCATGTGAAGTAAATATAGTTGTTGCACTGTGTAATGGCATAAGCAGGCTTAGTTATCATCTCAAATTTCATGGAGAACAAGAGCCTTGTGTTCAGGGTTTGCATTCAGAACCCTACAGGCCAGGTTTAATACCTGCTATTATCCAGTATGGTCCTTCTAATCCACTTAACTAATTATTATACCAGTATTATTGAAGAGGTGATGGTTTTGTTTACAGCAGTTATGGATTTCCTCATTAGACTTAACAATCAAGATAATTCTCATTTTCTTAAATGCATTTCTGTGTTACTGTGGGATGTGATAGAGCTTTTTATATTGGTATCCATCTGTCTGCATACTTTGAGAGTAAAACTGGAGTTATTTTTATGTCCTTATGGAGTATGTATCTAAAATATTTAAAATCATACCGAGTGGGAGGAAATTGTTTGGGTTTTACAATTCAGTATAATACTGGGTTTATGTTTCATGAGTTATCGTTGATGTAGTTGTTCTGATTGGAATAAATTATTTGCATAGTTCAGTATGAGTTTGTATTGCTGCTCTACTTACAATGGAAGAAGAGGAAAGACATTTATTGAGGGACATTAAAAATGTAAAAAAATCAGCTATTCTCAAAGCAAGGTAGATAGTTGTTACTCCTCTTTTTTTTTTCCTTAGTTGGCTTGTTACACTGTAGCATGTCAAATATGAGAATATTGGAGGATTTTCTTCATGTGAGGTATATGTAACCATATTCAAGCTTTAGAGTAGCTGGAGGCAAATTAGTTTAAATTAACTGTTTTAAATTGTGTGTAATTAAACAAATGCCGAGCACAAATGGAAATTTCAGAGAGGCCTCCATACTAAAAACCTGTGTTGAAGTGTGGGTCACAGAGTCTGAACTGAAGGTCTCACAAGTGCTGAAGAGAAAATGTGTTGATTGCTGTTGTTAAGAAAGACCTTTAAAAAAATGTGAATGTTAGTGTTACCAAATCAGATTGGCAAGGCTTACTGGGCACTTTGTTAGATACTGAGGATATAAAGATTTCAAGGTTCTGTAATTAATTTCATGTTTTTAAAACTTTCTAGTGTAAATCCATAAAAAAAATTCTTGCAGTGCAAGAGAATCTGCCTAGGAGGGTGTGTAGTATGTGCAGGTGTCACACACATACACATGTATTTGTCATGTGTTTGGCTGCATTTCAAGAAACTGAGCCTCCTCCTGGGTGTCCGTGCTCAGCCCTGCAGCCCCTCTGCTGGGTGGGGTGGTGCACCAGGGGCTCTGCTCAGATCACAGCTCAGAGCAGGAGAGATGTGATGGCTGCATTATAAAACAGCTGCTGCTGCAAAGGAAGGTGGGACCAGATCAGGGTCAGGCAAGTGCAGGAGAGCTGGCAGTCTGTGTGGAGGGTGAAGAGGCTGTAAAATGACTCCTGTGCAGTGTGCTCTTCTGCACCATCCCCAGCTCTGTGACCATTCCCTGAGGACATCTCGTCTTTTCAGGTGACAGTGACACAGGGAGGAAGGCAGAGTGTTACAGGCTCAGGGTGTAAGCGAGCTGGGTGCTTGGAGTCAGCTAGGATAGTTTCAGCTCTGCACAAAAACTTTCCTGCCTTCATCAATTACCTCTTTGTCAGCTGGTATGCGACTGATGGCTTATTCAGTACCTGCATTTTCTTTTTCTCTGGAGTTGTTGGCTTTTTCCTCACTTGTTTTCCTCTTGTTATTTTTGCTTGCAAGAACAGTGCCTGTCACAATGGAGCAAATGAAGAGTCACCTATACTAGTGTAGGTTCTATTAAAAGTAGTTTTATAGTGTCAATATAGTATGATTCAGATATTTTTAATGATTGTTACAACACTTCTTGAAAATATTTTTGTATATGTATGTGAAAGTAGACTGTTTCATCCAAAAAGTTGAGTTATTTGGCCTGTTTGATGCAGACAGTGTTGCTGACTTGTTCTTTGTTTTTTAAGGTGTTTTGTTGGCTTAAGTGCTCAAATAACCAGAAGTGAAAGGCACTTCCACATAGTTTAGCATTTGTCTAGCCTAATGAGTTTTTTTGATAAGTTTCTAAGGTAAAGGAGTGAATTAATAATGAAACTTAACTGACATTTAGTGCTTGAGTTGTTCAGTATAACTTCAGCATAATATTTGGCTTCTTTGGAGAAAACTTGACTTCCTGCTACAGAAAATCTATTATGTAGGAGCTCAATTATATATAATTGCTTAGGGTGCTTATAAATTTTCCATATATGAGAAATATTTTATAATGGAGGTTGGTTATAGATTTGACCTCACAAAAATATTGCTTTTTTTTGGAGAGGAAGTTAATCTATTTTGCAACAAACTTTTGAAACTATAAAATGTCTAGAGGGCTTCCAATAGAAAGATGCAAAATATTGTTCATAAAACCAGGAAACTTTGAATTTGTGTTCATGTAGCTTTAGTCAAACTGATGAAAATACATACTTGGGGTTTTTTTCCATCTTTCCATTATCCTTTGTTTTAACAAATTCCTATGTATGTTAGGTTACTAGATTTAAAAAAATCTAGTAACCTAATTTCATTGAATAGATTTAATTAAATTTAACATATTTATGCAGTGGCTTTTTATACCAACTTTCAGTAATAATTCCAGTATTCCTTTCAGCAGTCCTTTCAGAGTATTCCTTTCAGCAGTCCTTTCAGTAATACTTTAAGAGATGTATCAGAGAATTTCCTAGATAAAACACACAAAAATTATTTGGAAATTGGTCTTGTTCCAGTATATTTTTTCTCAGTACTAATTTCAGCAATAGTATCTCCAGAGAATTTATATGTGAATTTATCTCACAATTTGTGTATTTCTACAATAGTTTGCTTCAGTTTTAGAAGTAAATAGCCAGCAGAGGGAGCACAAATTAATTTATGATTTGTATTTCAAAATAAATACTAATAAAAGGCTAGTATATTAGTGATGCTTATTATGCTTTCCATAATAAGCTAGTGATGCTTATTATAGAAAGTAACAAATTAATAATGTGCTTAAATACAGTGAGGGACCAGAGTGTCTGAACATTTGAAACATGAATATTTTTCAGCTTCTGTGAGTGAACCGTAAATAAACTCTGAACTAAAACCATAAAATCACTTGATTTATGAGAAATAAAAATGATTCTTCACAGATTTCAAGTTCTGATAATTCAACATAGATACCTCTCAATTTTTTTTGGTTTTTTCAAGTATTACAGAAGCTTTATGCTTTTGTGGATAGTTGTGTCAATAGCCTAATTCATTTAGACAGTAAGAGGGTATTTTTTTCTCTCCATCTGTATTTATTCTGTGATATTAGGAAGTACAGGTGGGGAGCTGTGTTCATTTAGTTGCTCATGAAGGGAGGCAAGGTTTCCTGCAGGGGTTCAAGAAAAGCAGCTGTAACATTCTTCTAACTTAGGTACCACAAACCTCATTTGGTTTCATAAGACCTTGGGGAGGTTCTGTTCAAAAGCACAATGTTGATCACAAGCTGTAATTTATATCTGTCAGAGTCCATAGGTCAAAGCAGGATACTGCTCTACAAACAGAAGAGGTAATTCTATTTAAAGAATGAAAAATCACTTGTCAGGTCCAGAAATTGATGAGGATGCTTAAACAGGCAGTCACACTGAAGCAGATAAGCAGGACAATTTTTATGGCCTCAAAGAGGAGAAGCCTGGTGTTTAATATCTTTTAAAAAGGCTACCCAGTGTCTGTATGGTTTTGCTAGTTTTTATGAGAGACTAAGCATTAAAAAGGATGGAAAAAATGCTAAAGCTTACAATAAGAATGGTGTTTATTCTCACTCTGCCCATAAGTGTTTTGAGCTGATATCTGAAGAGGAATATATTAAACTGAGGAAGAGCATGAGCAATTATCATAGCTTATTACAGGGGAAGAGGGAGGATATAAAATACAGATGAAGTAAGAGAAACAGCCTTTTATGTGCAGTGTGGCTTGTATCTGTGCCAAAGTATTTATGAATCTCAGTCTTATGACACTTTCACAATAAAGGTGCAATCCAATTAAGTGATAGCAGAAATTCAGATATTTCCATTCTTATAGTCAGCTTGAACAGGAGTGGGGTCCTAGGGAAAGGACAGACTGCTCAACAGAGCTGAGTATTCAGGAGAGTGTATATTGTGTGAAACAAAATACAGTCAAATGTGTACTTATAGTCTCTTTAAGAGACTGGATTTTTATTCTCATACAGAAAAAGAAATCTCTGCACTAGGGGGAAATGTGGTTGTGTGATACATGGTAGCAAGATATACTGCTTTTAGTCTGGAATGTATTAAAGGAGAGAAGACAAAGTAAGGAGCAGTTTGCCCAAACGTGGCCATCTGTGATGGCAGCAGTTCATTCTCAGTGGTTTAGGGGGCTCTTGAAAAGTAGTGTGGGGTAAGACCTGCTGTGCAGTGGGAATCTCTTCAAAACTTTTTACCTCCCTAGGTTTCAGGGCCACAGAGAGAATGAGTGACATCCCAAGCACATATATTAGACCAGATAGAGACTTTTGTATCAGCTTGAGAGATAAGAACAGTGCTCAGGAAATGGAGCTGTTCCTTTATAGAATTATTTCAGAGAATTGTCTGATCCACTTACTTGGTACACATGAAAAGAGAATCAACTGAGCACCTGTAGGATGTAAAGGAGACATAACAGTTTTGTGAAATAGATGCTATTTTCTCTGTTTGATAGTTAATAACAAAAACATTGCATCTTTTTTTCAGGAGATGTTTTCATATCTTTCAAGTGAGCTGAAGAAGCTGGCAGATAACCACAATGAGAGACTGTTAGACACACCACATAATCCCATTTCCTTAGGTAATTGTTGGGGTTTTAACTTTAAAAAAATCTAATATACTGTGGATTGATAATGCATTTCCACATACCATTCCTACATATTAAACATCACTACACTCTACTCAATTGAATAATAATTCAATAAGGTTACTAAAAAGGTTATCTACTATAAAAGTAGTGTAGCAACTTGGACCCATTATTTTGCTCCTGTCCAACATATTAATTTGACAGAAATTAATTCAAGACAGGCTGAAGATGCTAGCATGTAGTAATACTTCATAAAAATTAGATTTAAAATTAAATTAGGGTGTAATTACTCATCCTCTTAGTTGTAAAAGAAATTATGGAATTCCTACTCAGGGTATTTGTTTTAACCAAAAATTCTGCTCAACACCAAAATAATACTGCCCGCCTCTGCAGAATCTGCCTACAGTCTAACCAGGAAGTAATCTGTGACAGCTTGTGGAAAAATTAAAAATTATATGTGTTTCTTTTTTTTTTTCTTTGTATGTGAACACAAGTATGTGACTAGATTCTTGCTGTTGGAAAGCAACTTGTCATTTGTGGTAGTTCTATGGAGAAAAAGTAGCTTTGTAGCAGTTTTAACCTGACCTTATGTTACTTTAGCCATGTCACTGAAGACTCTAGATGAAACTAATGATGCTGCTGTTACCCAGCTTGGATCTATGCTTTTCACAAGACAAGTTTCTGGAGCTAGGTAAGGATATTATGAATTTAAAAGATTCGGGGAGTGTATTTGCATATATTGTAGGAAATCCTGTAAAGTGATTTATACCAATTGTGTCATGATTACAGAAGGCAGCCTAATGAGTTAGAGAATAATCACCCTTTGTCATCACTGTTATAGAGCAGTCATGTCTCCCTGCCTGAGTTGGCAGTGAGGCTTTCTATGTCTACTTTGGTATCCTAAATAGATGATCTTTGCCCATTTAATTTAGTGTCACTATTCCCTAGTATCCCTTGATTGCATTTACTTTCCAGATGTTGTCTGATCTTACAATATAGGTGTAAGCTACAGTGGAGGATCTTTGTTTTATTTATTGCAGCACAAATATGGTTATGCCGGATGTCAAGGGAATAAGCTTTTAATATCCTACACAGCTTTTTGTCAAATGGAAAAAAATTCTGCTTTCTGGAACTAATTGTGTTAAAAAAAATTTAAAATTAAAAATCTATAATCTGAGCCAGTCTGAGCTGAATTTATTCTTAGAGACACTGTTAAAATGAAATGCAAGCCAAATAATCTTTAATGATTTTGGTTTAAACCTTTTAGAAGAAGAGAATGATTTAAAAATTTGTTTTGGCAGCATTCCTTAATCTGCATATTACTGCTGCCATGCTAACTTCTGCCATAGCCTTAATGTTATTTTTTTGTAGCAGAGCTGAATGTTTCCACATCAGAAGGTATGCTTCATTAGCCTGGATTATTCCACTTCCTGCACAGATGAATGACAGTAAATCTATATGTACTGTGGTTAGATGCACTTTTTAATTTGCCTGCCCTAACCTTGGCTGGTCCTGTAATTTTAACCATTTTAGGCTGAAATTTTTTGAGTTTACATTTTTGAAGTTAAAGCTTTCAAAATCTTTCCCTGATGTGAAAGTTTCAGGTTTTCCCTTTTGTTACATAAGTAAATATTTTGTAATATATGCTGTTTGACCTGGCATTTCAACAGATTTTGAGTTATGCTGGTATTGAGCATCAGTGGTAGGAATAGCAACTCCCTACTTCAATAGGAACTTTTGTAATTGTGTTCAACCTGGAGTACCACATAAAATGTCAAGGCATCTTTAACTGAATCGTGATTTTGTTTGTTTGTTTCAGGGTTGTTCCCTGTGGGTCTGTACAAACTGTGAATAACTACACTTTTAAAGGCTTTATGTCACATACAAATGACTATCCTTGTGCTTACCTCAATGCTGCCTCAGCAATTGGAATTAAAAAGCAAGATGTAGATGTATTCCTGAAAAGACTTGACAAGTGTTTGAAGACTTTTAGAAAAGAAGCAAAGCAAGAAAAAAGTATAAATGAAATCAGTGATGCTAATGCAGCTACAGAACAACTTGAAGACTAGAAGATACAGATTTAGTAACACAGGAAGATAAGATTTTGTCTGAAATATGTCAGGTTTGTATTGGGCTAGAACTATGCATCTGCACTGCAGAAATTTATTCTTGATCTTATGTTCTTTTTATTGAAAACCATAATAAAAATTTGGATGGAATTCAGCTTTAAGAAAGTAGGTGATACTCTCTCCAAGAACAAGGGACCAGACACAAATTTTTTTTTGCAGTGTATGAAAAATGCACTTAATATCTGCCAAAGTAAAGCTTTATGTTCAAAGACTTAGAGTTTGCCTTTCAATCTGTGTGTGGCTATTTGGACAGTGTTTACCAAATCACAGTATCTTTATTCACATGTTTTTGTTTAACAGTATTGTCTGTGGCAGTGACTGAATTCCCTCCTAGATACAGACCATCCAAGCAACATTTCTCTGCTCTCAAAATACTTTGTTTTTCATAAATGAATGTGTCACTTTTAATTTCTTTTCAAAGATTTATGCAAATGTTAGGATAGCACTTACTAAATACAGTGTTCAGACTGCATGGGTAAATGACAGAGTTGGAATAGTAATGTTTTTCAGGTGTTCTCACCTGTCATGAGCTACCTAGAGCTAGTCAGCCTCCAGTGGCAAAGAGGAACCTAGAGTACCTCATATCCTGTCAGTACTCAGCTCTTGAAAACATTTGCATAGTTCAGCAGCCCAAAGGAGCTTTAATACTGAATGTCAGGGATTGTGAAGTTGTGAGGTGAAGAGGTACAGTCACTGGGGGGGTTTGGCTTTGGTTTTTTTTTGTTTTTGTTCTTCTGATTTGATAGGGTGATCAGATCAAAAATTCACTGGAAAGGAGGAATACCACGTAGGAGTAATGCAGTTTTAAGAGCCAGTGAGATCTGAGAGTATTTTGGCATTTTTAGTCCACTGTTGTTGAAATAGATATACTTCCATTTTTGTAGTGTCTCTTGCCATTGGCACTGTTGCTTCTGTGGATCTGTGCAGTTGCTGATTTGAATTCATTAAGCAAACAATAGATTCAGAGTCTGTTCCTCAAACAAAGGTTCCATATCACTGGAGTGACAGTGCTGCAGGTTGCAAAATGTGTAGTTATTCTTAAACGTGGTTACTACATTGTACATAGCTTCTATGTAATTTACTGTTCAAAGTAAGCCTAATGTTCAAAGACATTTTCTTTGTTTGTCTGTAACATAGTGTTGTTCAGGATACCACCATTAATGAGTTCTAAGTGTCAGGAAATGTTTTATTTACTTTGTTGAGTGGGATCTGAGGCATGTATCCTTCAGAGCCCTCTGTAAATCACTTTATCAAAACAGTGATGCTTTTGAGAGATTGTCTGTCCAGCACATTCAAATGAATTCAGGCAAGAGGTGATGCTAGTATGTGGGAGTTAATAATGTGCTGATCATCATGAAGGTGCTCTCTCTTAATGAGGTCCCTTGTATCTTCAGCTTAAGTTGAACTGCTGTTTCCACATTGTTATTGCTGGAGGCACACATGAGATTGATTAAAGCTTGTGCAGGTACAGCTCCCCAGACTGCAGTCACCATTGTTGTTTGCTGTACAAACACATCCTTGGAGACATGTCAGGTAACTTGGCCTCTGAGCCCTTGTGGCTGTAAGGAGATGTAAATAGCTTGTCTTTTCTTTCTTTCTCCCTCTTTCTTTCCCCTCCCTCCCTCCCTCCCTCACTTCCCCCCCCCCCACCTTTTTTTTTTATGAGAACATGCTGTACCTCAGTTTTTCCAGTCAGTAAAACTTGCACAAACTTTGGAGCCACATCTCTGCAGCTTACTGCCTCAGTATTCTGTATATTGGAGCAGCCAGTGAAAGCCACCAGGCTTTAGTAATACCTTTCTTCCTGATTTTTGATATTGCCTAAATGAGTATAAGTTATTGATTTAGATGACCAGTCATAGAATGTGAATGGTAGCACTATTAATACAAGAGTTTAGGGAGATGTGTGATAGCAGCTAAAATGAGCATTTTGATGAGTAGTACTCTGATTCTGAATAAAGGAAATAGCATTTGCCTTCTCTGAGAGGAAGACATTGCTGCCTTTTTTGGTCTCATAATTTATTGTCTGCTGAAAGTAATTCAGTCACTTCTAACACAGATTGAACTGCTTCCTTGATTAATGTTTTTTTCTGTCTTTGAAATGTTTCCCATTTGCAATCAAAGCTGAAAATTTCAACAAAGCTCTGAAAAAGAGTTCATAGACCTAAATAGTTTTTGGTTTTTACTTCTTAAACTTTTTTTTTATTAAAAAAATAAGGTGATGGCTTTAATTGAAAACAAATACAAAATTATATTTTGTATCATTAAAGTTCTTCACAGATCTTAGGGAAGCCACCTGAAGTGAGAAAATCTAAAATATTTTGAGAAATGTGTCCCACCACAATGTAAGAACTCTTGAACTAAGTGTTCAGGTTATATTGCTTTGGTAAGCTTTTGTACCAGTTTTCAGTTCTGTTTGCTTGCTTTATCCCCATAAATGTCTTCAGTTTTAATTAATATTAATCTTTTAGAGACAGAACCATTCTATAATGTCACATAAATATAAGGAAATTTTAAGTAATTCAAATGGCAATATCCTTTCAAGTAAGTGGAGAAGACGTGGTTCTTTACAGTGTATCTGAAACAGGAGATTCAGTAGAGAATAAAAAGTATTTTTCAAGTAAGGGTATAAATTTCTTAGTCTCTGTTCAGTAATGTCTATAATAAAGTAGTGAAATAACACTGGAGCATGTACCCATGAGCAGAGGTTTCATTTCCTTTGTATAACAATTACAGGGAGATTTCATGGCTATGGCAGCTCTTGCCCACTAAAAGCAGTCCTGTGAAAGATGGCAGTGGCCAAACTGTGCAAATAACAAATACATTAGCAGTATTTGCCTTCTATGAAGATCTCTTCAGGACTGTACAGTGAAGTAGAAAAGCTTCTTAATTAAGTTGCAGCCCTTTTTCTAATCTCTACATACACACATCACCAAAGGCTTTCACGTGGCTCAAAAATCTGTAAGAGCCAACCTGCTGCCTCCAGCTTCTACATTCTGAGGGAGACATCTGGGAAGGCTGCCTGGGCTCAGAACATACTCAGGGCTCATAGAGCAGGAATCCTTAGTAGAAACACCAAGCAGAGATGCCCATTTAGTAAGACTGTCTCACAGCTATTATTTATGTATCTACCTTTCTCCATCATCTCTGGGTCACAGCATGTGCAAGGCTAGGGTGCAAGGCTAGGCAGGGACTGCTCAGGTTGCTGCAGCCTGAATCACCAAAGTGGCTTTCTCCTCTTCAACAGGGCCTGCAACTGTTGTGTGAGATGCTTTTCTTTCCCTCTAATGTTGCATCTTAGACTATCTGGATCTATACAGGTGGAAGAAATGAGGGAGCAGATGGCTCTGCCTTATAAAAATAGCACTGGGATAATAGAGTGCAAGTGAATTGACACTGAATGACCCATCTCACAGGCCCACTCTTAGTTTACTTTTTTTTTTGTAGTATCTGAGATAATCAACAAAACAAAGGACTTGGAGCAATAATATTGCCTATTTGTGCTTTGCTCGTAACAATTGCCTAAGATACAAAGCAAATAAAATCTACCAGATGCAGCAAATTCTCTTGAGCCTAAGAAAGCAAAATTGTAATGTTGCAAATGTAAATGCTGGCATTGCAGCTTAATACACATATAAACCGAGCAATCTATATTGTGTGATCATCATTTTTTAAGAAAGGCTGGAGCCCAGAGACTAGCAAATGTTCTCATCTGCAGTGTATCAGCAGTTCTCAGTCTTCAGCTGCTGTACAGATAATAATTCTAATTGAAGAATCATTACATGGATCCATATGTGAATGATAGATGGGCTACAGCTTTTTGGTCATGATACTTTAAAAACTGAGTTGCTGCTTTTACTTTTATAAGGGGAGATTAGATTGCCTCCCCCTGCTTTTTTTTAATGCAACATTTTAATCACCCTGGTCTGACAGGATTTGGAATCTGAAGGGAAAACAATTTCTATAGCTGACAATTTTTTTAAACAATAGCTATTAGAAGCCTTGAATTGGTTACAAAATGACACTCCACAGAGAACCTTTGTTCAAATGTTTTTAATTCTGAAACTAGTGCTTGAAAAATTGTGTTCCATGTGCTCTGTAGTAATTGTTTTTCATATATTATACTTTTTCCCCCTCAAAGATAACAGCACACACTTTAGTGCAGTTTAATAATCCCTTTTAAAAACCATGGTTAAAAAGGCATTTGCTCCATTACTCATCAAGCATCTGTTGTATCAAAGAACTGGTAATATATTTATCTTGATGGATAAGCTTCAGTGTTCTGGACCAAGTTCAGTGTAACTGGACCAAGCTTTCAATACTCCTTTGGGGATCCTAAAGTCAAGTTCATGGTCTAATTAAGATGGGTGTGATAATTATATCTGCTGCTGAACAGGAGTCTTTCATCAAACCGCATTTCAACTAAATTCAAAGCGGATCCAGTTCAGAAGCTGAATTGATTTCTTAATGTGGATGGTGGAATTTAATTTGCCTTTAGATCCTGTATTCTAATCCAGGCAGAATTTTAACTGTTTGATTTTTAATGTAACGTGAATAGAAAGAATCAGGGGTTTCAGCTGGGTGCTGCCATTCCTATTACTTGTTCTCAAAGGGCTACAGATACAAGGCAGCTGTCTTACCCCTGTGCTGTTTGGAGGGTGGCATTGGTCATGTACACGTACAATGACAGCAGCAGAGGTGTGTGAGTATTATTAATCTTCTTCTGGGTACCCCAAGTAGGAGCACACCACTTGGGAATTCAAGATGAACACGTAGCATTACTCCTGATCTGTTTTCTCCAAAAACTCTTTCTGAGGTAAATTTCTTGTGATTGAAGTGTACCAGAGGAATACATGGCCAAAATAGAGGAAAAAGGAGCAAGGTCTCCAACACTTTTGAAGCTTTCTATGTTGGTTATATGTGTTTGGCTCTTGTGATGTATAAAGCCTATATTGCTATGGAAACTCATGTAAAGAACGTTTGCAGCCATCCTTGTCCCTTACCTGAACTATTTCTGTGCTACCTCTGTAGGGACTGGGGCAAGGTGCACTGCTGCAGCACTGCAGCTGGTGGGTCACAGGTGCAGTCCTGAGCTCTGGCTGCAGGAGAATTCAGTGCCCAGTAGGGGAAAGCATTCCTGCTTTCCTTTGATATTGGGCTGCCAAGCACATGGGAAGTGGAACTAGTCTGCAGACACAGCTACTGTTGAGGAGTT